CACACACACACAGACAATTATGCTTCTCAAATAGTTTTATTTTATATGCAAACAGATACCAATGATTAAAAGTTGATGTGTATATGTACATGTACATGTACAATATACTGTACCTTGACCCATATTTTTTACTAGTAGTTCAAAGGAGAACAAGAAAAGTCCCTTTCTGACCTACTGGTATCATACATGTATGGGACCATTCCCACAGATATTTGGATCGATCTATATCCCTGGGGAGTCTCACTAAATTGCTATCAAACTAACTGTCTTTAAAGTCTGTCACTTCTAGTAAAGCTGATTATGGATAATTATCTTTACCCCTGGCTGGTTCGGTAGGCGTGACAGACATTTAAGCCTCTTGAGCTGATAGCAATTTAGCGTGAACCCCCAGGGAGTTAGGTCAATATCCAGATGGATTGATCTAAGTATGGGAACCCAGTCTATATTTACATATTTCTTATTAAGATCTGTCCTTGATTTTTAAGTAAGGATGTTTTAACTAAAAAAGTAACAAGCCAACAAAGACAAAAAAGTTACCTCCTTGAGGAAGTGAATAGCAGTGATACATTTTGGGGCTTGCTATTATGTTTATAGACATATATGTACATTTGAATACATGAAAACTAAATTAACACTGAAATTTTTGTTCTTGATATGACTGTACTTTCAACCCTTATGTTTATCATTCTTAAAATTATACTGATTTTAACAAATGTATTTTTTATGTCCATTAAATCTCCTTATAATACCAACTGTGACATATTCAACATTTAGCTGAAAAAATTATTCAATGTATACTTATTGTAATTACATGTATCATTCTGGGGCTCTACAGGACTTAATTATTGGAAATCATATATAATAGTGATTGGGTGTGAAATTGCTTCCTTATTACCCAGAGTGGCTTCCACTAAGGGTTAAAGGAATGACAATGCATTCAGATACTCTTCATTTTGGTTATAAAAGTGTCATAAAAAAATTTACCTAGGGTAAACAAAAATTTCTTCATACTTTCCAATGTCATCCAGTGTCAAGTATACAGATAACAGAATAATTCTGATAACCACCATTTTGGTGGTAAAAAGGAATTTATTATATTTCTAATTTTGTGTCATTTAAAACATCTTAATTGTGGAATTTTGAATCTCATATGAAACATTGCAATCCATTTAAAAGATGTGTTATTGTGGTATTTGTATAATTATATAGCTCAGAGCTCACAAGCCTCTATATATAGCTACAGCGGGTAGCTGTGTCATTGAACTTACTATTATACCTGGTCCAGTATCTGTATAATGCAGTGGTACAAATTTAGATTGTGGATGTACTGGTACATGTATGTGCATTCACAGAAACATACAAGTGTGTGTGTGTGTGTGTGTGTGTGTGTGTGTTCTTTTGTGTGGGTGACCTATTCAAATATTTTTTTTGTTTACTAATCATAATAAATAAATATTAACTGATAAGCAATAACTGTTTCTTAAATAACTAAAAGTAATAAATATCATGTAAATTTATCAACCATCCAAATAACTTTAACTGTAAATATTATTCCTAACTACATATTGTTCAAATTAAACACCAATTTTTACTGGTAACACTGTTGACTGATATATTTAGAGTTTTTTGAATTGATTTATTATAAAAAGTATTTTTACAGATATTGGTAGTATTTTTAACAATGAAAAAGCATTTACCTACTCTGCAGTACTTAACAAAAATGAAAAATAATTCACAATTGTACTTTGGCTAAATACATTTAATTTTACTGGTACAAATAGAGTATTCATTGATAACTGAATCTAGGCTGAGCTCCATAACAGCTAGAATTGAGACAATAACTAACTAACTAACTAACTAACTAACTAAATAAATAAATAAATAAAGGAGAAACATGGCAGCTTCTCAAAGAGGCATATATTTTTCATTAAATATATCTGAATAGTACACTAATTCCTTCCTGAATAATCTGTGGCAATTGCAGTCAGTACCAGTTACACCATGTTATTTAATACTAGGATTAGCATAAGACGTACATGTAACATACAGTGTATGTTTGATCCTGGGTATATATTAACAGTCTAAGAAGATGATGCGGGTGTATCCATGGGTTATTACTCTATTTCTTATATACTGGTAATGATGTTGTACATGCATGCCATATACATTTTCCTTCCTCCCACTCCCCATTTCCTCCAAATGAAGACAGGATGTTTACTGGGAGGCATGTATTTTTGCAATTCCCACAAAGTTTTTGTTTTTGTATAAAGAATGACATGTTAAATCTAGGTCATGGCATAATTAATAGTAGTATTCTTATCAATCATTTGGAATCCCATTTTGATTACCAGCTATAGTATAGGGCGTTTAGTTTAAGGAAGGACAAAAAAATCTGATTCGGATTAGGTATAAAGCGACCTTAACTTAAGACAAATATCAAGCAACCTGCATACAGTATGTATATTGTGTTTATTATTGTGTCTTATTAATGATTCACAAATTGAGGAGATATATATTGGATGGTACTACAAACCTAAAAAAATCACAATTTTACCACTTGTCAATTAGCCAATGCTTTACACATTTTTCTCTGGCAACAAATGCTTTTCATACTGTACTGGTACTTCTCAAAAAAAAAAAAAAAAAAAAAAAAAAAAATTGCCCATCTCTTTCATAACAATTGATTCAAAACTAACTTTTCATGCTCAAGTTGGCAAGTACAATAGTCCCTGTTATGGAGGCACACAAAACCAAATAAAAGCTTTGTGCCTCATCCTGAAAAAGTATCAGATTGGCTAGCAAATGGTAAATAGACATTCCCAATATTTTTCTTGACACTTCTCCACAAGCATGTTAACACTAGCATGCACAACTGAACACAAAACAGTCATGAAATGAGAATTTTACACACACACACACACACACACACACACTTTATCTCTCTCTCTCACACACACACACACACACACACACACACACACACAACATTGTTAGGTAACATGTCGTCTCCATACCTGCTGCTGTACTCCAGATGAAATGCCATAAACTGGAGCCTAATCGACATCGATGAGGAGTTAGCAGGTGGCAAGATAGTTATGTTACAGTCAAGATTGTTGCCATAGTAACCAGGATGGCTAGGACTGTGAATCACACCGTTTGATTCCTCACCATAGGACGTCAGCGTTATCACTCTGCTGCAGTCCGGAGGGTAAGGTAGGGTGACACTTGTGACTGGGGAGGAGATGTATCTTGTAATATCTGCTGAAGAAAAAGAAAAAGAAAATAAGTATCAAAAGCCCACAGTCACAATGTGCATTGTATACCAGCTATGACATATTCTAGAATCATCCTGCTTGCCTTTGGCAGCAGTGGCTGAATATATATTTTCTTGGAAATACAGATGTATACAAATAAACAATTCAGAAGGATTGTTAAGCACCAACGGCAAAATTGGAGGTGTGTATTCTGACTCAGGACACAAAGGGAAAAATTATTTAAAAATTAATTCAAATTTAAAAGAAATCAAAAAATAATAATAATAATAATAATAAACTCCAGTACCTGTGTCACTAATAACAAAATTTTTTGATATGTGGGTAATATAATTTGCTTGCTTCTCTAGAGGATAGCAAAATACTTATATAATATAATATAATATAATATAATATAATATAATATAATATAATATAATCCAGGGCCAATCTGCATGTCACTTTATTGAAGTTGTGCCTTAAACATAAGAAAATGGAATGCCTCAGAATCAATAAATTGTGTATGTGGATGTACAATTATTTACGGTAGAATTCTTATTACCACAACATGCTGATACAGCAAATTGGGCCACACCATTATAAAAGGACAAATGTTAGCCTCGTGCATGCAACTGTAATATTTTCTTGTGTCAACCATTTCAGACATCAATTTATAATTTTTTTTTTTTTTTTTTTTTTTTTTTTTTTTTTTTTTTTTTTT